AAAAAAAACTGCACAAACCTACGCAAGATGCGTTCAATTATTGGCGAAGGACCGAGCAACAGCAGGGCAATGCACAACAAGCCGAGACCCGCAGATGTTTGCAGACGCCTCCATTTCGGATTTTCGTCAGAAATCCACCCGGCAATTGGACCAACCAGGCCGTAGGCAATCGGAGAAAAAAGGAACATCATCCCGATCTGCGACGTATTCATCCCAAGCTGGAAATACAACGTTTCTCACGAAAAAATTCTCCAAATGAGTAAATGCGAAAAAGAAGCTACAATGGAAGAGGAATTCAACCTTGCTCAACTGCGGTGCCAACAAAGGAGAGAGGAATGCAGACGCACAAGATACCGCAGTCGTGGAAAGAGCGGCGACAATGAATTGCACATTAATCAAGAGCGTCCACTTGCTAACTCGTCTTCCTCCGGGTCTGACAAATGCAAATCCTTTTAAATTCAGTGAATTCCGATAAAATCCCACAAATCCCCGATGCTCACGTTCGCGGAGTTTTCGGAACACAATTTTCCGCGTTTATGGAACGGGGTAGAAGAAATGCATTCAGTGGCACTGTTGCCAGGCACATAAAACCGAGAACCAGTGATGGGAGTTTGAATCCCCCAACCTCAAAGAAACACAAAATTTCACAATTCAAACTCTGGATGCGTGAATCCTCGCACTATTCTTACAGAGTGTAAATAGCCTCCAACTGCTGGACCAGCGTTCAACCCTATCGCTGTCATAACCTCCATCACACCCTGAAGAGGAAAAAGAAGGGAAATCATACAATTTCAGCGAAAGATTTCTCCTTTTTCTTACCATGATAATTCCTGTTCGTCGAGGAAAAACTTCGGCAACGTACGTGAAAATTGCAGTACCAGCTGCTCCACAACCAATGCCCTGCAACGTCCTCACAAAAATACTCAGCGCGCAAAATGTTGACGGGTCCGATACTGAAGTCAAAAATCTGGAAATCCGTCAAACATAAAACAATCCTAGGCACAAGCTCAAAAGATGTACCCACGAAAATGACACGGCCGAAATTCCAAGTAGGGAAGATCCAAGCAGCAGGACGATCTGAGGGCCTGTTTCGGCAATCTTCGAAATAGAAAAAAAAAGACCAAAATACATTTTCGCGTTAACGTTCTTCCAACGGGAACTCACAATTCTCCCAAATATCGGCGAAGTGAGAAAATTTGCTCCGGCATAAGCAGTGAAAACAGCTCCGACAATCACGTCAGATAGTTGCCTCTGATGGGCCTGAATATAGAGCAGAAGGACATTTACAAACGTCAAGCAAGGTTTACCAAGTCTTCAGCGGGGAAATTTTGTCGAAAAGGACTCAATTGTTCTAGCTGACCTCCAAATGATAGTACGGCGCAATTACGGAAAACAGTCCCATGGCGACGAATTTCAGTAAAGCCAGCAAAACTAGGATTGATTTCTGAGTCCTGGTCATCCGACATGGAACCAATTCGCACATCGGCGGAGCGAGAGACTGCGAGATTTCCCGCGTATCTATCACTAAATCTGAAGCAAATCGCCGGGAATCCATTGTATCCGTCATCGAAATTAAAACACAATGCCTACAAAGAAATTTGTTTTGAGTATGTCACATCCCGATGGCCTTACTTCTCAGACGAACCGAGGACTCTCGACGTTTCCGAAGTAGGATAACTTCTCAACGAGAACTGCTCTCAGAAATATTTAATTACATTCACCGTAATTTTTTCCTTTCTACCCAGTTTTTTTTTCTCGCTGGAACTCTTCACAGCCCGTTTTTGTGGCAGAAGAACACGATTAAAATTTAATATCTTCTGCCTCAAGGATCCGAAATTTTATAACGTCAAAACATAAAGGACTCCAGAAAAGTATAAACAATGTTTAAAAAATCATGAACTAGTGCTAAAAATAATTTTAACCCAAGGTTAATGCTGAGGTGGGAAGACAGTCCACATTCCATACGGAAATACGATAGATATGCAGTGTTCTATTAGCACAGCTGTTGAAGAAATAATACATTTTTAAACGTCGTTACGAGGCTCGCACAAAATTATTAAGGAGATGAATTTTCGTTCACTTGAGACCTGATTTAAAATCGAACGCTATTCATTCGCACTTATGACATTTATCTCGTTCACGGTGTCGGTGCAATCACTCAACAGTTCCGGTAATCCACTTGAATGCACTTCAACAATTCTGAGCACAAATGTGAAAAGGGAGATGACCCAAAGACTTCAATAATAATAATAAAACTCCAGTGACGATATCTAGACCAGGTGAAAAAATA